AAAATAAATAAATATTGAAATGAAAATTAATCAGTATTTATACACATTTCCATCTGCTAAAACAATCTGGGGAGGAGATTTTAATACATCACTAAATGACGCAGTTGACAGATTTCCACCCAAACCAAATAACGTAGGTAATGACTTGCACAATCTATGTTTAAGACTTGAGCTGATAGACATATGGAGAAAAAATAATCCAGATGAAAAAATATTTACATGGAGTAATTCTAGTTTCTCTCAACAATCGAGAATTGATTATTGGTTGATTTCTAGTGATATAGGTGAAAAGGTTCAAAATGTTTCCATTACCCCTTTGTTTTATCTGATCACAGAGCTATCTCTATAAAGATAAATTTAAGTAATGTTTGTTATGATAAAATATCAAACAATTATTGGAAATTTAACAAATGTCTACTAGAAGATGAAAACTTTATAAGGGAGGAAACCAAAGATATCATAAAAACATTCTGGAGGCAAGCATGCGCGAATAAAAATGTAGGTCTTAGTTGGGAATTGATGAAATTTGAAATAAGAAAATTGGCTTTACGCATGAGTAAAATGATAGCTAGATCATTACAAAAATAATACATCTCTCCAAACAAAAACAATTATCTCCGCAAGATGCTATGGAATTGTCTAAATTGCAAATTCATTTAGACAACATTTACGAATCTAAAGCTAAAGGTGCCTTCATAAGGTCAAGACTTAGATGGATGGAATATGGTGAAAAAAATTCTAAATATTTCTTTAACTTGGAGAAGAGGAGGAAGGAAATGTCTTCAATAAAAAAGCTTATTATCAAGGATACAACAACAGAAGATCCTGCAATTATATCAAAATATTTAGTGGACTTCTATCAAAATCTATACTCTTCTTCTAATCCATGCTTAAATGATATTCAAACATTTCTAAATACAATATCTCATAAAGTTAAGAGAATAGATGACAATTTTAAAACAGTATGTGATGATCCATTTTCTCTGGGAGAAATTAAAAATTGTATTAACAACCTTAAGGATAACCGGGCTCCAGGAAATGATGGCTTAACCACAGAATTTTATACGTTTTTTAGTGATCTTTTAGCACCCTTTATTCTTCTTTTATTTAAATGAGCAGGAATTTCCTGCATCCCTTAAGCAAGGTGTAATCACCCTCATACCCAAACCTAGTAAAAACAAATTACATATTGACAACTGGAGACCCATTACCTTATTAAACAATGACTGTAAAATGTTCTCCCTTATTCTTGCCAAAAGGTTAAAAACTGGACTTGAAGATATAATAGATGAGGAACAATCATACTATTTATTGACTATTATAAAGCCTTTGACACTGTCGAACACATTTTTTTGTTCAAGGTAATGGAATTTTTAGGTTTTGGTCCAAATTTCTTGAAAGCAGTTCAAACACTGTACAATGGCTGCAACAGCTCAATAAAATTACATTATGGTACTACGCAAAGATTTCAACTTCACCGTGGTTTGAAACAGGGCTGCCCATGCTCTCCCTTTTTATTCCTTTTAGTAGCACAAATGTTGGCTTCATATATCAAAATGGATGATTTTAGAGGTATTTCAACTTTAGGTACTGAATTTAAAATTTGTCAACTAGCCGACGACACTTCATTGTTTCTAAAGGATAAAGAAGAAGTCTCAAAAGCTGTGCAATGTGTTAGTCAATTTTCTCATGTCTCTGGCCTAAAAATAAATCTTAAAAAATCTGTTCTCTTCCCACTCAAAGAGTGCAGACTGACCCATGTCGATGGAATTGAAGTCAAAGAAACTGTTACCTATTTAGGCATAACAATTTGTAAAGATGAAAAGTTACGAACCAAACTTAATTTTGACCCAATAATAAGCAATACTCAAAATAGATTCAATTTATGGTTATCACGTGATTTATCTTTACATGGGAGAGTGCTCTTGTCTAAAGCTGAGGGCATATCTAGATCAGTTTATGCCTCACTCTCCTTGGAAATGCCCATCGAAATATCAAAATCACTGAACTCGCATATGTATAACTTTATATGGAGGAATAAACCACATTATCTCAGGAAGGAAATTTTAACAAACATTAAAAATAAAGGTGGTTTAGAAGTGTTGGATTATGATTCATTAAACAATGCTTCAAAGTCAACTGGATTATTAAATTAATAAAAAACAAAAAAACAAGTATATGGAACATTTTCCCTGATTCTATTTTCAAGAATGTGGGAGGAATTGAATTTCTTCTCAAATGCAACTATTCTGTTAATAAACTACCTATTAAACTGGCAAACTTTCACAGACAAGCATTCTTGGCATGGACTTTAGCATTTAAACATAATTTTTCACCCCACAGATATTATATCTGGAATAATCAAGATATTCAGTTTAAACATAAATCTCTTTTTATTCAAAGGTGGTTTGATTGTAACATCTTTCTTGTAAAGCAACTAACCAATGAGGATGGTATATTACTATCTTATGATGAATTTCTCCAAAAATACGAACTGCCTGTCACGCCTAAGGAATATGCTGTGGTGTTTGATGCCATCCCACAAGGTGCTCTACTGCTTCTCAAAGACTGTTCCAAAGACACTACTTGTAATACCAACATAGGACAATGGAGAGATGGCATTTTTCTGGGGGACATAGACATTCTCAACAAAAGATGCAGAAACAAGGACATACGAAATATTATTGTTGGAAACACTACTCCTCCATCTCAACATGTCTGGGTGTCTCTATATGGCAGTGTCAATTGGAAGAAAGCATGGAACGTCACAAACACATACTGCCTAACCAACAAGATAAAGGAGGTGTCTTTTAAGATTCTTCACAGAATATACCCCGCAAAACATGTTCTGGAACGGTTTAAACTGAATATTGACTTTTTGTGCGTTTTCTGTGGACTACACAAGGAAACAATTATTCACTTGTTTTTTGAATGCATGTACTGTAAAATATTTTGGATTGATGTTCAAAACTATCTCTACCGGAAAATTGGACAATTAATTATTTTAAATGCCAAAGATGTATGTATCTATTTTGATCGAAAAATTGATAGAGATGTGAAATTTGTTATTCAGCTTTATATTTTAATGGGAAAATATCACCTACATAAAATGAAATGGGCTGACAAAAAACCAAACTTCTATACTTTTCTTGCAGACATGAACCTATATATTTCTACTATTAATTCAATACAAAATAAAAAAGCAGGTAAAACAATGTATATACTAGAAAAGTACAGTCTTACTCCTGGCTCCTCTTAATATTTTTAGTATGAATGTTGTTTTTTTTTGTGTTTTTTTTTTAATGAATTATCTTCCTCTGGTGTAATGTGTGTAATGTATCCCCTGGCACTATTTCCTCATTGTTGTAACTACACGTACAACGTTAATAAAAATAAATAAATAAATAAAATAAAATGAATAAAAAATAACCCATTCAACTCTCACACACGCCCCAGCTGCAGTTTGGAGTATTCTGGCGCCATCTAGTGGATTAAAATAAAATTACATGAGTCATTCTGAGATTATTGAGTGTGATCAGGTTCAGGTGTGTAGCTTTACAATTATCTTAGTGTGTAAACAAGGGTGGAATGAGACTTTCTGGTCTGTAAACTATTGCTTTAAGCAGCAATGACAACTGTCTGTTTTTTTTTTGTGTGACAAGTGAGCTGTCAATCACAGCCCAGACCACGCCCAACTCTAAGCCCCCCTTCTTGTCCCTTGGTCCTCCAGGCAACGCCCTTTTTAGAGAAAATGTTCAAATCTTCATGTGGGTGGAGTAAGGCTGGGCACAGGTGTTTAGTCGCTCTTTAAGCGTGAACTGCACAGACCACCAGTTCAGACAGTTTCATGGTTAAGTAAAACAAAAAGGGTGTCTCCTCCATAAACTCCTCTCGTGTTTCGCCAGCTGAAGCCAAATCTTGGGTGCATCCAATTTCTAAAATCAACCTTCTTACCCTTCACCTTTCTTTCTTATCATTCCTATCGTCATTGGAACATTTCCCTAAGTGCATTTTAAATTATCTTAAAATGTGTTATATGTATGTTAGCCAAACCTGTTGCTGTCCTTATCAGATGAAGAACAAGAAAGGAACTTTCTGATGGAATCGAATATAGCCGATTTCTCTACTCACATGCGCCCCCAACTCTGAGGTTGGCCTCACTGGGTACCATTACAAGCCGTGGTTGAGCGCGATTAAGGCCCATATTTGTTGTCAAAAACACAATCTATGACCCATCCTCTCAACTGCAGACATGAAGACTGTAAAGGATATATGTTTGAACTTTGTAAACCGATAAACCGCAATAAACAGAGAAAACTGTTCGATAGCACTGCAAGGGCTTCTCCCACAGTGAGCTATGGGCTCTTATGTCTCCCAAGAGAGGCTCGCCTCACAGCGCACCGCTCTGTCAGATATGAGAAGAATATGACAAAAATCTGTGATTTCAATTTAAAAATAAATTAAATAAGGCAAAGTTACATTGAAATAATACAATTGCACAAATCATTTGATATAGTGACCAAGTACTATTGTTTCCATGTTATTATTTTTTCTTTCCGTGATCGCTGTGAGGCCGGGCCTCACCTGCTTCATCTGCCCGCACGTCACTGAAACCCACCTACACAATTTCTCTGATTGGCTGAAGACGTACTCACTATACATCAGCCAATAATTGCTGGGAGGTTAACTGATCCTTCCTTCCCTCATGTCAACACACGCATGAGTCCTATCTGTTGAAGTTAAAAGAAAAGTTCTTTGTGCGACTTGAGTAGCGTGCAGTAACGGGGTGTTGCTATGATAACAGCGTTATAGTGACAGTCAAATTAATAATTTAGATTACTCGTTACTGAAAAAAAGTAACGGCGTTAGCAACGCCATTTATTTCAACGCCGTTTTTCCTATCACTGTGGGTAGAGCATCACTGATGTGCAGGTTTGTAATGCAACCCTAGCCCTATAACCCACTGCGACTACTATACTAAATTGTGTCTTCTGCTGTAGATGTTTCGGGTGGAGCAGAGAGCAGAGCCCCAGCCCTTGGCCTCCCTAACCCCACAGCTGAAGGAGGCCCTGGACGTATGGCTGACCCAGCGCCTGCAGGTGAGGCCTGTTCACGTCAGTTGTGTTGTGTACAATTCATATTCTCTTCCCAAAAGTACAGAGAAAGAAATTTGTATCTGGTGAAGGGACATCCTTTAATCATCACAACAAATCTATAACCAGAGAGTGACACACCCATACAGTTCTTTCAGAAGTGGGTAACACTTTATATTAAGTTCATGCATGATTCTCATGAACTAATGCATGAATTAATTACTAGATCATGAATTCTCATGGACTAACATGATTACATGTTAGTTCATGGATGACTTCATTCATGAATTAATGGTTGAACTACTGTAATGAATTTACATGAAAATCTTAAAGAATCATCATGATCATGATGATACCATGAATTTACAGAAAAACCAATGAAATGACCAAAAAATCATCAACCTATCATGATCCTCATGATCATGCATGAGTCATATAGCGGAAATCTACTTGCAAATTATGACGACAAAATCATGAACTTATCATTAGCTAATGCTTAATACATCATGATTTCATTATATTTGGTAATGCTTAATAGATCATGATTTCATTATGATTGTGTCCCCTTAACTAAATTGAAGAAATGATTTATGGATTGTTTCTTCAATTTATTTTACAAACTAAGAAATCATGGTAAGGACTAGACCAGGGGTCGGCAACCCGCGGCTCCGGAGCCGCATGCGGCTCTTGAGTGCTCCTGGAGTGGCTCCTGGAGCCTTTTCAAACATGTCTGAAAATGGAGTGTGAGGGCAATATTTTATTTCTAGTTTGAATGTGGTTTCTGTAGAAGGAAAAACAATCTTTACGTTTTTAAATGCTGTAAAAATGTGTATAAGTAATATTTAATTTCAACATTTCTGTCACGTAGTGCGTCATATCCTATGACGCGCGGTCACGCGGCCCCGCCTCATGCGGCCGCTGCTGTAAACAAACCGGCGTGTGTGCATCATAGGCCCAGTCCCAATACCCACACTGCACCCTACACACCTCTACGAAGTGTGCATTTGTTCGAAGTGCACACCAGGGTTGGAGTGCGCAGGTTACAAGTGTGCCAAAAAGGCAGAATTGGGACAGTGCACACTGAGTGCAGGTTACGTCATCGACTCGTCAAGAGATGGTCATTTTCAGACCTAAACTTTATAAACATTAAAGGTAATTTTGTCTGACCCTTTGGGAAACAAAATGAATTGCTTCACACACGTTAAAATACATGTATATTAGTTGTTTTTAATTAGAGATAGCTGTATCATTTTAAGTTAAATGTGGGTAACTAACTATATGGTCAGTTTTTATACATTCTAAGATTATTGTACTAAGTGTAAAGTTTAAATTGAATGTTATATAAACGCTTGTTTTAAAAAGTTATTAAATTTTTAAAACACAATGTCCGTAATTCTTCATCAGACGTTTATGCTTCTTTCCAAGTAACATAGCAAAACTTATTTACACACATACAGCATATATATTTCAAAATGTATATTTAAATGCATTTTCCCGACGTTTTGATGTGTACCGCAAAGAATTATGGGCAATATCCTTCGCCAGAGTGCGCATAGATGCAGGCTACGGCGAAGTGTGGATCAGGGGCGCAAAGGGGGCGGGGCCAAAGACCTCCCTGGAGAATTGGGACACCCTACGCACTCGCACCCTTTATCGGGAACGCGCAGATGAGGGGCGCGAGGGTGGAAGTGCGAGTATTGGGACGGGGCCATAGACTGTAGGTGCGCATGGATCCCAAAGCTAAAACGAGAAAGAGTCGATAACAAGACTGGACTAAGAATGAGAATGAACATTTTCTTTCAGTCAATGAGGAAGGACTGCTTCATGTTTGTAATGAAGTTTTGTTGCAACACGAGGAACAATGACGCGCAAAACGACGTAAACGGTGATTACGTGAAGGATTCATCAAAAATTCAGAGCACCTATTTTCAGACTTCAAAACCTTCTCAAAGACGGTGAAAGAAAAGGCCATTAAAGATTTTAATTCAGCTCCAGCAAACTTCAGCCTGTGACGTGATGGATATGAGCAGACAGTGATGCAGGTATGTGACCTCTGAGCCCAAAGCAGATTGATTTACTGTATTTCTACAATTACATGAAGGCAAAAAAATGGACGTTAAACTAAAGCAGAGTCGTCACGTGTTGCGTCATTCACAACACGCGTGGTGCGACACGCTGCAGTGAAAATACACATTTGATAATCATGAATGATTATTATGTATTTGTAGCCTTTACTTTGTCATTTAGATATTAGGCTAATATAGCTAATACATCTTGCAGCCTGTGTTAACTTCATAAAAGCCTTATACAAGGCTGTTATTTTTTTGGGGCTCCAGACGGATGTTGTTTTTAGTTTTTTTTGTCAATTATGGCTCTTTGAACATTTTGGGTTCCCGACCCCTGGACTAGACCATCTGCCCTCAAGTGTCTCTCTTTGATTGGCTGTGATGGACTCAGAAACAGAAGAAAACATTAGTTGGCTATTCCTGTGTTGTTGAATCTTGCATGCACTCAGGAACTTCTTTTGCTGTTTTAATGTTTGTTCCTGTATATCTAAAATGTGTTTTAAATCTCTCAGCTTTTCTAGACTGGGGGAAGCCATGTGTTTTTCACAAGGTCAAGTTCTAACCGGCTGTCAACATTACAATTATCCATTGCTACTTCCTTAGTCTTCCTCCTACTTCCTCAACACTTTCTGTACAATCTCTCTTCCAGTGTCCCCTCTTGTGACATTTTAAGGATAAATCATTGCTTCTTTCTTTGCTATTTCCCTTTTTTTCCCCCTCTGGAAATGACTCCTATTTCTCTCTCTCTTCCCACCTATCCTATTCATCTTATAGTCTGTTAGTTCAGTCAGTTACAGTAAGTCCATAAGGACACTTACACTTAAATAAAAGACATGAAGTAACAAACAAAAACAAATACTACTCACATAAGAGGAAATGTTTTGTCAGTTAAATCTTACACATACATAGATAGACAGTTACTCACATAAAGAACAATGTAGTACACATAAAGACAGACAGTGTGCACATAAAGTTTCTATTTTTAAGAATTTCAATGTCCAATTTCAATTATTATGTATACCTGGTTACCACAATATTCTGCCAAAAATCCATTAATCAGCTGAAGAACTGTCACCACTCTCAAAATTTTCCATTTCCCTGGAAATGGCCAGATCTGGTTTTCCATCTACTGTACACGTATGCGTCCATAGTGCAGAATTTGTTTTCTCTCTCTGAGGATGTTTTTTCAGCCAAGTGGACAGAAGTCTCATCTGTCGCTTTGTTGGTACCGATGAACTAACCAACGGGGACTTTCACCCTTTTAAATTCTCCACTTATATCTCACTGCCCTAATGCTTCTTGAGGAGATACATTGGATTACCTGCCTTCAAAGACGATTTGAATTTAGTTATTATTTTTTATTTTTTTGGTTTTACCTTGTCCGTTGTGGCTGTCCAGAACTGTAGTTCTGCCGTCAACTTCAATCTGGAAACTGTATTGAGAATTGGACTAACTAGCTAATTAAATTATTAAAGAACTCATGAGATTACTGAATCAATAAATGAGCCAATTAATAGATAATGCGACGTCATACATACGTTATCAGTTGGGATTTATTCCCTGGTGCCCCTAAATATAGCTATCATCAAATATTGTATTCACTACATGATTGTTTTTGATCCAATTCTCCGATATCAATTAAATAACTTAAGTTATGTATGATATCAACTTTTCTCACCCTACAGTGCAAAACCAACAGTTTACAAAGTCCAAAGTAAGTATGTCTGAGACCAGGTCCAGATGAGGAGAATGTCAAGTACTCCGGTCACTCATTGCTCGTTGGTAATTTCCTTACTAGTGGGAAGGGATTCTCAAACAAATATACACACGACAACTTAAGTACAAGCACAAAACAGAATGTCAACACGTGAATACGGCACATAATACGAAACAAAGCACAGTAGCACAGGAAGGACGTTAGCTTAGCTTGCTATCGATAGCTAAATGAAGCTAAATGTAGCTACATTACTGTGTACAACAGACAATCAAACATTTAAGATAAAATAAGAATTCCTTTATTCGTCCCACAGTGGGGAAATTTCGATGTTGCATCGCACATATAGGACAGTAGTAAGAGCACACAGGGATCACACAATCTCTGTGATGCTGCTGTTCCAGCAGACCACACCGTACAAGATGGCTGATGCCACCACAGAGTCATAGAAGGTCTTCAGGAGTGGCCCCTGCACTCCAAAAGACCTAAGCCTCCTCAGTAGGTAGAGGCGAATCTGGCCCTTCTTGAAGAGGGCGTCTGTGTTATGAGTCCAGTCCAGTTTGTGGTTAAGATGAACACCCAGGTACTTGTAAGAGTCCACTCTCTCGATGTCCTTTCCCTGGATGTTCACTGGAGCTGGAGCGGCAGAGTGACGTCTGCGGAAATCCACCACCATCTCCTTGGTCTTCCCCGCGTTGATGAGGAGGTGGTTCCGCTGACACCAGTCCACAAGGTCCTGTATAACTCCTCTGTACTCTGTGTCATCGTCCTCGGAGCTGAGTCCGATGATGGCAGAGTCGTCAGAGAACTTCTGTAGAACACAACCGTCCGTGTTGTGTCTGAAGTCCGCAGTGTAGAGGGTGAAGAGGAACGGCGCAAGGATAGCTCCCTGGGGGGCCCCAACACTGCAGGTCAGGACCTCCGACACAAAGTCCCTGGTTCTCACAAACTGGGGTCTGTCTGTGAGGTAGTCCAGGATCCACTGGGACAGGTTGTAGTCCACACCGGCTGTCTCCATCTTGTCCCTGAGAAGCCTCGGCTGGATGGTGTTGAAGGCACTGGAGAAATCAAAGAAGAGGATTCTCACAGTGGAGCCGGGTTTCTCCAGGTGGGACAGGGAGCGATGGAAGAGGGAGATGATGGCGTCCTCGACTCCGATGCCCGGCCTGTAGGCGAACTGCAGCGGGTCCATCGCTGGGCTCAGAGTGGAGCGGAGATGTCCCAGG